GATTAATCTGGAAACCGAGTACCGATCAGCTGAGCTTCAACTTAAAGCTCGCTCGACTTCCAATTGATTTGCTTCATAAAACACCAACCAAGAGGGAAGCACTCAAAATAGTAATGTCGCTGTATGACCCGCTCGGCCTCGCCTCCCCAGTTACGATACGAGCAAAACAATTACTGCAGGAAGCATAGAGACGAGGAACACTCTGGGACCTGGAGTTGGACGAAGATCTGACTAAACAGTGGTCTACATGGATCCAACACCTGGAACGACTCAAATCAGTAAGCATCCTAAGATGCTACCCGGGATTCAGCGACGCACGTTCACTCCAAGTACACGTATTTACCGATGCCAGTGAGAGCGCCTACGCAACGGCAGTCTACTGGAGATCAACGGCACCCGATGGGCAAATACACGTGAGCCTCGTCATGGCCAAGGCAAAGGTAGCTTCGCTCAAAGTAACATCTATACCTCGCCTCGAGTTACAAGCCACCGTGATGGGAAGTCGCGTAGCTGCTGCCGTCATCCAGGAGCATGGCGTAAAGCCCGAAGCTGTCACATATTGGACTGACAGCAAAACTGTCCTTACCTGAATAAAAAAGGGGTCCAGAAGTTATAAACCTTTCGTTGCATACAGAATAGCAGCGATCGAGGACCATACTAAGGTGGATGACTGGCGCTGGGTACCTACCAAATTAAACATAGCTGACACCGCTACGGGGGACGTACCACCGAACTTCGAGTCAAATCACGAGTGGTACAACGGCCCATCGTTTCTTTACAAAGAACCGTCAGCATGGCCGACCGAAAAACCCACGTCATCCGAACCGACCGGTGAAGAAAGATCCTTCACCATTACAGAATCGCATAAAGTGCCGCTATTCAGAGAAGCCATTCCCGATCCAGTAAAGTTTTCGAAATGGGAACGCTTATTGCGAGCGACGGCCAGAGTGCTTCAGTTTATTACACTCTGCCGCAAAACAACAGACAGGACCTTTTATAAAAGGACCAAAAAGAGTAAAGAGGAAGATCCCGACTGGAGGAAATCGAAAAATAATCCGCGACACCTCGCGCAGCCTCCCAGTCAAGTAAAAAATAGATATGCAAATAAATACATCACACTCGAGGCCGAATTCATCAGAGAGGCCGAAAAGCTCCTAACACGTGTCTTTCAAGAGGACTCCTTCAAACGAGAGATAGCTGATCTCTATAAAGACGAAAAGGTCGCCCATGATAGCCGCCTACGACCGCTCCAAATAGAGTTGAAAGACGGGGTCATCGCTCTACGAGGTCGCATAGCCGCCGTGAAGGGAGTCTCGGAAGACATGAAAGGGCCAGCTATATTGGATGGTGATCATTACATCATTCAATTGTACATAGACTGGACGCATCGTAGCCTGCATCATTGTGGAACCGAACCTACCATCAACGAGGTTCGACAGCACTATTGGGTAATCCGACTTAGACCTACCACGAAAAGAATAGTGAGCCAATGCGTACAATGTCGCATCAGAAAGGCGCAACCATCCGTGCCAGCCACCGGTGATCATCCCAGTACACGTCTCGCTCATCACCAGAGACCGTTTACTTTCACCAGTCTGGACTATTTTGGGCCACTCTCCGTCACAGTGGGACGTCAACACCAGAAGAGATACGTGGCTCTCTTCACCTGCCTCACATCCAGAGCTGTCCATTTAGAAGTTGTCGCAAATCTCAGCGCAGACTCCGCCATACTGGCACTGAGAAGATTTGCGGCACGCCGAGGGTGCCCTACAGAAATTTACTCTGACAATGGCACCAACATGCACGGCGCAGACAAGGAACTTCGAGAGGCTTTTCGAGAGGAAGCCAGCCGACGAGGCATAGTGTGGCGTTTTTATAACCCCCTCCGCGCCTTTCATGGGAGGGTTGTGGGAACGTCTAGTACGATGCGTGAAGACGGCACTATACACCATCCTTCATGAGAGACATCCACATGAAGAAGTCTTAACCACGCTGCTCTGCGAGGTGGAGTATACAGTAAACAACAGACCATTAACTCACATCTCTGTAGACAGCAACGACAACGAGTCCATCACTCCGAATCACTTCCTCTTGGGAGGATCTGCGAGACTGCCGACACCTGGATTATTTAATGAAAAGGATATAGATAGCAAAAGGCACTGGCGACGCTCCCAGATACTCGCTGATATGTTCTGGCAGCGTTGGGTCAGAGAATATCTACCGGAACTTCAAAATCAGCAGGAGGCCCATGGTCGAGGCCCCAACCTCCAGGTGGGCGATCCAGTCTTCATAGCTGACGGCCAGTTACCTCGTAACACCTGGCCACGAGGAAGGATTGAAGCTGTATACCCCGGTGCGGACGGACAGATCCGCACTGTGGAGGTACGCACCGCCAACGGCCTAATCAAGAGGCCAACCAGGAAACTCGTGCCGCTGCCGAAGTATAAAAAGCAACGTCGCTCACCGAAATGGATGCAGCGCCGCTGCGATGAGATCTTCGCGACGCTGTACGGCGGGAGAGATGTTCGCGACGGCTTAGACTAAGAAAAAAGTGATGAAAGAATATAGTTTTGTATAAAAAGTGAAATTACTAACGAAATCGAGTAAATAGTATGTTAATATAGTTATACAATGTGTTTACAACTCTTAATATATTTGTATAGAATGTCGTTTTAATAATAGTTGAAAAAATTCGACCAATCATAGCGCAGCATATCGTAGAACTTTCTGGAAGTTTAATAAACTGCGCAATAGTTTGTATTGAAAATAATGAGAATATTTTTGTGTTCTAAAAGTGTTGTAAATATGATATTTAGTTAGCATATGATATATAGATTACGATAGTAAAGAAATAATTTGTATAAATAGACGCATTTGATAAATATAGAAAAATTAAAGAATTAATGTACTCATTTGTTGTGAAAATTTGGGACATTTCATTTAATAACTTTTTTAAATGTAAATATATTGAATAACCTTTATCACATACTGATAAAGGACCAAAATACCTATTTGATTATGTATAGCGTGTTAGTGTAAAAATTAGCCTTGTATAGAAAATATTGCGATTTGTGCTAATTACATAGTGAAAATGTTTAAAAATAAAGAGGCAAAACGGAAAATGGCAAGCGGCTCACTATACAGTATAGCCGAAGTCTACCTTATGGGGGCGAATCCCAGTAACGTTGTAGTAGGAAGAACTACCAGTGACAAGCAGTAGTATCCGGTAGTAGCTGAAGTGACTAGTAGCAGAACATAGTGAACAGTAATAGTGAATTAGAAAAAGTTTAGCTAGCCGAAAAAGGTCGTAACTGAAAATCGCAGAAACACATAGCCGAAAAAAGTGGCAAATGAAAATTCGCAGTTGCATATAGTAAAAAAGTGTTAGCTAGCCGAAAAAGTGGTAACTGAAAATTCGCAGTTGCATATAGTAAAAAAGTGTTAGCTAGCCGAAAAAAGTGGTAACTGAAAATTCGCAGTTGCATATTGTAAAAAAGTGTTAGCTAGCCGAAAAAAGTGGTAACTGAAAATTCGCAGTTGCATATAGTGAAAAGTGTTAGCTAGACGGAAAAGGTGGTAACTGATATTCGCAGTTACACAAGTGATAAAATCAACTAGTTTTAGTTGATTAATAGCTGCTAGTCAGTAGTGTTAGAAAAGCAGCTACTACCAATAGATATTTTGATACTACCAATAGATATTTCATACTACCTATAGATATTCTGATACTACCAATAGATATTTGATACTACCAATAGTTATTTTGATACTACCAATAGATATTTTAATACCAATAGAAATTTTAATACTACCGCGCATTTTAATTAAATCTGTTAAAATATATAGTGACCAACCAATAGTGAACAACCGTAGTTGAACAACTGTGTTCAACAACCGTGGTCAATAAATAAATAGTTATAAAATTTCACGACTCATTAATCAGTCGAACCGCTGGCCACTCCCTTGCTATTTTAATTTATAAATCGTGCATTTTTAATTCTGAACCTCAGTCCACAGTTCTCTAACAGCATACACAGAGACGGCAGTGAAAGTATCCTCCTGAACCTATAGGTGTAGGACGTGAGCGACTCGCGGAGTATCTTCGACAACATTTACTCCGGAGAGTTACGCCCGTCCGGCACAATATCATTAGAATACGAAGGTAAATTTCGCCACTACGTACGAGGTTATAATAGCTCAGGTGGGTAACCGGGCGGTTCTGAAACCAAAACACCCCGGTTCGAGTGCAGCAGATGTGTTTATTTTTCAAGTTCCTTCTTTTGTAAGAATTAAGCGCCATCTGTTCGGCAAAGCACGACACTAACAAAAATTAAATTTGAGGCGCGCATCTATCTCTAGTATATATACAGCATGGAAATACATGTACTTCGTACAAACTGGAACCCGCACTCTCGAATAACAAAAAATACAAGAAAACGACCTTGAAATTTTTCATTACCCCTTAGTCTCTTTCTAATTACGGTGAACACAAAATACAAGAAGATATTTGGGATATTTCTATATCCCAAATACCGATATTGGGGGATTATGGGGAATAATAATTGGAGAAGGGAATATTATGGGGAAAAATCAGTTTATTTATATTATATTCATTTATAAAAAAATATTTAATTGAAATTAGTAGAGTTCCATTGAAACGCATGATATTAGAAAAATCAATAAGGACGAAGCTGCGGGCGGAAGTTTATTAATTAATATTATTTAGGCGTGTTTTTGTCAATAAACGAATAAACGAGTGAACGGGTCTATATACAAAACTTTAACCATGAACTCAGACCATCATCCTGAGCAAAATCTAAAATAATTTATGTCCGAAAAGGAAAAAAAAATCGTTTTCCAATACATAAAGTATCGGTCACGTGACCAATTTTGTATGGGAAGTCAAAAAATTATTTTAATTTCCACAAAGAAATTCCTTCACTGCACTGTCTTTACATCCCTTATAATGTAACATTAGGAAATAATAACACTAAAATAATAATCGTTTTTATTTACATTTATTATTACAATAGCAATAGTGTCTACAAAATTAAAATATACAATAATAATAATTAGAGGTGAAGGTTTTTACAACACAATTTTTATACATGATCGAATAGTTTTGTGAAGTTTTTGTCGCTTGGTACGAACATCACTCAACTTTTGGTCCATAAATTTTTTTAGATGCGTTCTGAGACGCATGGTCAAAAGAGATTGAAATTCACAGCAACCACTTACAATCAGGTGGACTGTGTGCTCGTTTGTCACCTTATCCTATAAAAAAATAATTTTAAAATTCTAGGTTAATGAAATTCAAACCAATTAATACTGTCATCCATAGGATGATTTTTTTTTATAGAATAAGGTAAGTGGTTGCTGCGGCCCATAGACATCTACATCTATCCTCGATTACTAATCAAAATGCAGATGCGTTGTCACCCGTGAGGACGAAGTTGGAATGCCTAGTTTCCAGTAAAAAGGGTCTCTGGTTCTCTACGCTCAACATACGAAACACAACAGCGTTAAGCTGCTATTTTGCGCTGGTATTCTGTGAGAGCGTGTTCCTTCGCCGGTCGAGCCGACCCATTCGTGCTTCAATTATACTACTAATATAGCTGCAGCATGACTCTACCACGTATAGAATACACTATAGAATACGTATAAATAAAACATTGGTCGCAACTGTGGTGTGAAGTGTTGAATAATAATACTGATTAATACATTTTTAATATAAGTTGACTCAGACTATTTGATGCTATAGTCAGAACTAAAATCACAATTGAACTTTAAAAAACTGAAACACTGAAAAAATTTAGGCATAATAATGTGGTTATTAATTTAATAGACTAACAAAGCATGCTGAAGAAATACTATTTTGGATATTATAATATCATCGATGTTCATATTTTCTTTTTCCGTTTCCAAAATGTTTCGAAGTAAAGTTATTTTTTACAAACAGGAACATTTACATTTTCTTTTGTAGCGTCACGCAGCGGCCTAGATTCCTGAAAAGGCACGAAAATCTGAATTTCCCACACTGAGTAACAATATATTTATTACACATTAAGGTAGCAATTTTATAATAATAATAATCATTTATTTCAGGCAATATTTACATTACATGATGTTAATTAATGTAAACAGAAGCCCATAGATGAATATCTTATTGACTAACATACATATTTATTATAAAAATTTAAAAACATGTTAATGGCTAATTGTGTAAATTAAAAGAGCACTTACATGACTGCAAGATGGCACGTCTAACATAGTTTCCCAGGATCGTTTAGAAGGTGCACTAGTTGCATTTTCGTCATTTGACTGCAAATATAATTAAGTATTAAATTAAACCTGTGACAGTGTTTTCTCATAGTCATTTTAAAATATACATACTTTTATTAAAATATTCGACTCTTCATCATCCTGAACCGTAAATCTGATGGTTGATTTTCTTTGTTTACTTACATGTGTCTGAAATTAACAATATAAATTTGGTAAACAAAATATAAAAATTATAGGAAGTAAATTAGAACTACATTGAAAAACATTTATTAACATAAACCAAAATTGTTTTTTTTTTTTATATTTATATCTTTATTTATAGCAGTAGCACTTATGGAGGTGTAACAAAATTATCAAAAAAATGGATTTCCTGAGACCACAATTTTGATTAAATATGTGTAAATTTTCTTTAAAAAATTAAAAATACAAATAAAAACAGCAAAATTTTGTACAAAAATTTTACAAATTATAGCCTAGTGATATAACATATTAAGTTGTTCCTATTTACTAGGTAACAGAATGCATTTTTCATTCTTTCTCAAAAAAAAATATTTTGCGATTTTTTTTAAATTACTTTTCTTCCCTTGGAAACAAAACATGGCTTTGAAATATGAAATAACAAGTACCTAACAAAAGTTCATACCTGTACCACAGGTATGAACTTTTGTTAAGTACTTGTTACAATCTGCTGTTTCATTTAAAAACGTTGTGACTCCTTGTCTTAGTTGTTCCCCAGTAATCATGTAGGTACGACTTTCCATTGACGTCAGTGGAGTTTGGTGTTGATACGTATTTTTACAGAAAGATTACACTATTATAAGCACACACACAAAGTCTCATTATACGGAAACGCGTAATTTTTGAGAAAAGAATAATTGAAAATCAATTATTCTTGCAATGTTTATGTCTAATCTGCTAATAAACTGGCGCCATTTTGTAATGTCATTGTCGACGTCAATAGGGATGTCGATTCTTTCCGAAAAAGGTCGATTTTTTAAATCGATTCAAATCGTAAGTGGATGTATCGATTCCCAAAAAATCGATTTCTAAAATATCGATATTTTTTTCCTGTTTGCATTTATAATGTAAATATAAATCCATTTTATGAGAAAAAAATCCCCTTCATCATAAAAAAATAAGGGGACTGATTCATAAGGATTTCTGTATCTATTTTGAGACTGCTACGTCTCCGGCGCTGCGGGAAGAGCAACCTCTACGCCTTAGCGTAACAAATCGCAGGCATCCCTCCTCGCCTCCGCAGCTTCGGCTTGTTGGTCGCCTTCGGCGACCAGCCTCAGCCGCTCCGGCTCGTCCGATGCCTACGATTTGTTACAGCAGGCGGAGGCTGCTCCCCCTACGCGCCTCCGGCTCTATAAAACCACTCTAGGGGTAGGACAGACTCGTACCAGGTGGAGTCGGGGTCAATCAATTCGGTTCTTTGACATAAGTTGAACCTAACCTATTTTATTTGTTACCTGCCCTAATAGGTACTGTTAAATAAAACAAATTTCAATAAGAGATCATTTATCATGGTATCTTTCTTGTTTTTCATAAAATGGGTTTATATTTACATTATAAATAGAAACATTAAAAAAATATATAAGCTTACGATTTGAATCGATTTAAAAATCGACCTTTTTCGGAAAGAATCGACATCCCTATTGACGTCGACAATGACATTACAAAATGGCGCCAGTTTATTAGCAGATTAGACATAAACATTGCAAGAATAATTGATTTTCAATTATTCTTTTCTCAAAAATTACGCGTTTCCGTATAATGAGACTTTGTGTGTGTGCTTATAATAGTGTAATCTTTCTGTAAAAATACGTATCAACACCAAACTCCACTGACGTCAATGGAAAGCTAAGCCATCATGTATTTGGTTGATACAAAAAAGATTACAAATCTTTGCTTTTTCAAAAAAGGGTCTTTTTAGCTCCACATTATTAAAAACCTGCATAAAATTAAGTAATAAAAGATATAAATTTATTTTAATTTTGATGTTTCAGTGTATCATCATTCGTGTAAACAACGTTTCGAAATTTCACGCAAATCGAGCAGAGAGACCAGTCGAGAAAACCTTTTCCGTTTGTAGTTAAAATGAAAATACATTACAATGTATGGTCACCCTAGTCGAAGTTATAATACAAACATGAAACATTAATTATTAAGCAAATAGCGGTTTAAAATTGGAAATACCGAACCAAAATTAACATCTAAACCAAAATAACCATTTGTTTATACAGAAATTATAGCAATTAAAGTCGAAATATCACTAAAAATCAGTTTCACATGACGCGCAGTATTTGCATGGTGTTTCGTACTTACAAATGAAATATAATATTACATTCTGGATGCCACTCACTTTTGCAACCGCGCACAATACATTTAATGACCATTTTACTAGTTTTGCCTCTGCATTATTCCAAAATTCAAAAACAAACTTGCGAAATGAACATAAATCATAAACATCCGCCATATACATTATACAATTATTTGACAAATAGATTTTGGGTTGTCATATAACGGCTTTTGAGAATAAATCTGAAATAGGAGAAATATGTAGGAAGCTAGGCAAATAGTTCATCGTAAATCTTTATTAAGTGTTTAAAAGAAAAAGCAAACACTTGCGTGAAAATCGTTTTTATCAAGTGTTGTTATCATTTTTTACTTATAATTCTTGCCATACTGACAATTAAACTTATACTGAAATTCATGATGTATGCCAATGGGGTAATATCAGTCGTCACGTTGGCTACCCTGTAGAGAAAACAGGGGTTACTTAAGGTCATTTGCTTATTCCTAATGTTGATATTAGGAGTGTGGGTTCCAGTTATATACAGTAATCTATGAATTAAATACTAGATTTTTACTAACGTTTTTGGGGAGCTTGGAACCGTTGCAGTGGCAAGGGTATTATTTGTGTCAATGTCAAACATAGGTGTGGAATTGTCAAAGATTCTTGTGCTCACTTGTGCTTGTGTTCCATGGGTATATATAAAAGTACTCTGTGTTCCATGGCTAGCCATTAGCCATATTCATTTATTATTTTAGTTTATAACCGTGTTTTATGTATCATATAATTAATTTGTTGATTAAAAATGAAAGATGATACAGAAGATTTCAAAACAGAAGTTAAACCAAAAAGATTTCTATTGAAAAAGATTGCGAAATGTTCCTTACTTGGTGTTATGGGTAAGAAATGTTGAAAATTTTATAAAATTTATTAACTTCTTTATTGCTTTCATAAAGTTCGCTACTAATTATTATCCCTACACAGATTGACCTACCTACAATGTTTTACAACACATTAACAAGGTGAATGCTAAATATGCCATGTTTTATTAATTAGATTGGGAAATTAGAAATATGATTGTACTATTGCTTATACATACAATCTTCTAAGATTGACAGATATGTAACTATACAGTCAGAATGTAAATAGAATGATTTATTATTATCATATGTTATTTTATACTGTTGCTGGTTTTTCTCACACTCAAGGATATTTGCTGGTAACTCAAGGTTCGACAGATAGATTGTCATTGCTTCTTGTCAGTGGCTGAATATCTATCATCTGGTGAATGTGAGATGATAAGCCCTCAGTTTTGCTGCATTTCAGAGAAATGTATGTGCAGGAATTATATGCCTTAACCTCTTCAGACCGTAGGTACTCATACGAGGACCTTAGCATTTTTAGAATTGCAACAGTTAGCGACATCGTGTGACAACTGTCAATACTAATGAAAGTCGATAAAGGATACAGAGCTTCTATCTAAACCGATAGATGGCTTTTAGACAATAGTTTTGACACGTAAAATTAAGTTTGAAATTGTTCGTTTGAAAATTTTCCGTAGGTCTGTCACGTTCGAACTTTGAAAATCAATATAAAATTATTTTGTTTGCTTCAAGTCGAAAGTGTTGTAGTTTTGTATAGCTGAATAACTAAATTTATGTTTGAAAGGGTGAGTTTTTGTTTCTGTTTGTTTTTTTTTGTATCAAAATTCGAATTTTTTTGCTGTTCCACGTATGTGGACCTCAGGATTTAACGTTGGTTTTAATAGCATATTACTATTTTTCAGTTCTATCATGAATGACCGGGATATTGAGGATATTCTCAATAAAAGTGACTTTGACTTCTCTGGCAATGAAGATGACAATGATTACTTGCCTCCAGAAGTGGTAAGGGCTCTTCATCAGTCCGACGATTCAGAAGAAGATGAAGAAGAAAATTTGACAGAAGCGGAACCTGGAAGGTCAGCACCGTTGTTTTGGCGTACAAAAGAAATGCGTTGCCGTGGACCAGACATCGCAGATGATGAGCTCGTAGCGCAGGGTACTTCAGAGATGAACATTTTGTATTGTTTTTTTGAGTACTTGGGAACAGAATTCTGGGAAATGGTGGCTGAACAAAGTAACATTTATTCTGCTCAAAAACGTGATCTAAAATCATTGAAAACAAACTCCATTGAGATTATTCATTTTGCGGGTATGCAATTATTGATGGGTACTCTTAAATACCCCCAAGGAAAACTTTATTGGACTAGAGATTTATGTGTGCCTATTATCAGGGATACCATGCCTCGGGACCGATTTTTTGAACTTCGCAATTATCTCCACTTCGTAGACCTGAACTGTCCAGATACTAACGACAAACTATGGAAAATAAGGCCAATAATTAATCCAATTTTAAAGAAATGCCACAGTTTGCCTCGTACTAAACACATGTCCATAGACGAGCAAATGATACCATTTGCAGGGCGATGTGAGTACCGTCAGTACGTTCCAAGTAAACCTAATCCACTTGGACTTAAAAATTTTGTACTCGCTGCCCGAGATGGAATAGTGTTAGATTTCGAAATATATGTTGGTAAAGACACCATATCACCAGAAATTATGAAAAATTTGGGACTAGGAGGCGGCATTGTGCAAACTCTTTGCCGCACCATTGAAAGCAGTTGTGTTCTTTACACCGATAGGTTTTTTACTAGTTTAAAACTGGCCGAGCATCTTATTGCAAATAATAATCAAATATTTCTAACTGGAACTGTTATGACAAATAGAATTGGCCCAGTATCTACGAAATTGAAGCCAGACAAGGAGTTGCAGAGAGGGGCCTGGGATGAAAAAGTCCGAAATGATGATAACATATGTATCGTGAAATGGAAAGACACAAAAGCGGTAACATTGCTATCTACATGTACAGGAGGTGAGCCAGCAACTACGTGCCAGCGTTGGTGTAAGGTTAGAAAAGAAAAGATAGATGTGACACAGCCAGCTGTTGTAAAAACCTACAACACTTGCATGGGCGGAATAGACTTGTGTGATCGGCTCATTGCATATTATCGGAGCTCAATGCGCACAAAAAAATGGACAGTTAGAACGTTTTGTCACTTTCTCGACCTTGTGGTTGTCAATTGCTGGTTGATGTACATGCGTTGTTGCAAAGTTGAAAATGTGGAAAGCAAGCATAAGCTGGGATTGCTTCAATACCGCTTGAATTTGGCTAAAGCCTTGATGAAGTATGACGGTGGTAGAGTGGACCCAAATTTTATGCGTCCTGGCTCCAGATCTCAATCTAGCCCTGGCCCCTCGGCAATTTCCAACTCAAAAATCACGGACGTGGGCTGTGATGAGCCTCCTGCAAAAAAAAATCGAGCGGTTGTACCCCATCCGCTACCTGAAACAAGGCTGGATAATGTGGGCCACCTGCCACGATTCATTGATTCCAAGAACGCATCCAAATGTCGCCATCCGACATGTTCATCCAAATGCCGCACTATGTGTGTAAAATGTCATGTTTTTTTATGTATATTAAAAAATAACTGTTTCGAGAGTTACCATTCTAATAAGAACTTTGGACCGCATTAAGACCCAAGGTCCACATATGTGGAACAACTTTTTTTTATATTAATAATAATAATAAATTTTTTTTAAAAAATTATAGTTTTTGTTTTGACCCCAGTAAGTATAAAAAACGCAAAAAGTTACTTATACATAAGTCCCCTCTAGTTCAGGTCTGAAGAGGTTAATTTTATCCTCCTCTTTTTTGAATCGGACAACATGGCGCTGCGCTTTCTTATTTTTTTTTTTGTTGTGGCAACCCTGGTTATAAGTTGTAAAAGTAATTGGTCCCGATAAATTTTAATAATTTAAATATTGTAAATTCACCATATCCACCTCAATTTTATGTTATAGCTAATAATTACTGCCGCTTTGTAATTAATATTTAAGAAAGTTGGTACATAAATATTATAACAACAATTTGGTGTTGGAACAAAGTGACAGGTAACGAACATTGTTTTAAAAATTATTGTAATCCTTATTTCATATCATTCCTTTTATAAATTAAAGATTTATTCTATTACTCGGGTTATTACATTCTTTGCGGGTTTCTTTTCGAATTGTTTTAACGATAATTTGATTTGAGACTTGTAAATAGAAAAAAAAAACAACAACTTTACATTAGCTTACTCTGCTCCTTCTATTTTCGATCTTTGTTTTCTTTTATTATTTATAATAAATAGTAAAATGAATACTCGCAACGCCAAGACGCGCCAGATGGAGAACCAACTCCAGCTTGCGCTCCAAGAACTTAAGGCGTCCAGGGAGCAGTGTGAACTGTTGCTTAAGGAAAGGGATGATAATGAAAGGGAAATAGTTAGCATAATTGCCAAAAATACACAATTGAAATGTGATATGGTTAAGCTACATACAGAATACACAAGTGTTATAAAAGAAAGAGATCAGCTACAGGGAACGGTTAATGAGTTTGATCAATGCAGCAAGGAATATGAGGAAGCTCTCAGGTTAATTGCTGCATTGAAGTTACAGTTGAATGAGGCTAATGAGCAAATAACACAATTTAAAACATATATAGATAACCTTAAAGCCTCCCAGACTCAAAGCCTGTTCTCTGAGCTTGTGCAATGTGATACTTCAAGAATGTTACAGCAATCTGCAACAATAGACTTGACTGGTGACGACTCTTCCACTTCAGAAAACACAGTAAGGATTAATTGCAGTAAAACCAAATTGAAGAAGTATATAAAAGTTAATAAATACATAAGGAAAGTACAAAAATTAATAAGAAATAAGATTAATACCAAAAATTATGTTAATGTATGTAAAGAAAAGCAAGCATTGTTATATGAACTTAAGTTGTATTCAATTGAGGTGGATAACATAAAAAAATGTTATGAGACTGAAATAGAGTGCCTTAAATCAGAAATATTGTCACTTATGAACTCCCTTCAAACTGTGTCCAATAAATATAAATCAGCCCAAAATGAAATAAAAGAACACATATTGGCTATGGATAATCTGGTAAAGACTTGTAAATATAATGAGGAGCGGTTTGACTCCTTAATTAAATATCAATGTGAGTGTCAGCGCTCAATGCCAGATTCTTCAAAGTCAGTGTGTGCTGATAATATTATACCACCACAAAAACTCTATGACAGTGCCATAGCAGAGGATATTAAAA